GCTATTCCTAACAAGCACTTCGCTGCCTTGATACCCTCGATTGAGTGGATCGTGGTTGGGTCGTAGCTATGTAGAAAGAACAAGCACTCGGCCTTAGGTTCACATTTCCTCAAGAGTTTAATGTTTCTTGTTAAAAAAAAAATGCAATCAAGGAACGTGATTTCTGTGAAGAACAGCCAGTCTACTATGCTGTCTTTTGATACCGTTTTGACAACCTCAAACTGAATTAAAAAATTCCTGACCTACGTCTCTGTATTGCTGACTTATAAGCTCACACAAATGGTCACCATTGGCTTGATATTCTCATTCAGAAGATGGATCAGAAGATGAATAAAAGTACCTCTAATGACCATTACTGTTCTGCTGGGCCGATGAACCTCTCGCCTCACCTTTCACCTTTTCTGGACTAATACTACGATGTCCGCAATCGCAAGATACTTCCAGCCTGTGGTGAATTTGTGAGAGTCGAAGAATCCTATAAAACTATCTTAGTCAAATGCTGATATAAGTTAGACAAGATGAATATATCCCGTACACCTTTTCTGCTCTCATTTTAAATACGTTTTGTGAGAAAAGCGTGTTTGAGGTTGGGGAAATGTAGCAGCAACATTTAGCATAAATTAGTAATTATCCACCAACCCAAACTAAATAAATTTCTGGACACTTCTAAGTAACATTCATTTCATTGCGTTTGGGCGGTTAAACCATTTCGAAACTGAATATCTTCTAATTGCTAATTATCTATCAATTTTGGTAATGATAACCACAGCAACAACAAATAATACTCAAATAAATAGCAAAACGAAATTTCAGGAAGACATAAAAAGCAATCATAATTATAATTAGCACAGAGAAGGAAATTTATGGAGGAAAAGCAAAAGGAAGAGATTCCAACTCGAACTTGGATTGAATAGCCAATAAAGTCTCCAGCTCGTATGTTGGCGAATCGGCAGGTAGAAATGGAAAATATCATGAAGGCGTAAGAGGAGGAGAAACAGAAAAGAAGAATAAAAGCAGTAGCTAACTTACGCGTTTTTATTTTGTATTCGGAGGGTAATTACAATGGCTGGCGAGTTAATTGAAAATGTACGCGTTCAAAGGCAACTCACGTACTTCAGTGGACTGGTGGTGGTGGTGGTGGTGGTGGTGGTGGTGGTAGTGCTGGTCATGGAATTAACTCAAACTCCACCTCCTCTCAATACTGTACACTTGTGTGTATATAATTTAAATCAACGTACGTGCATTGCCAAATGCAACATGAGATTGTACGTTTCCGTTTGTGGTCAGCAGAAATGTGGCGAAATCAGCGAAAATATCAAACTACGTACGTCGTACATATATATGTATATATATATATACACCATTTAAGTTTCTCTCCCTCGCTTTACTCCATACCATACCAGTCTAAATGCATTCTGAAATTTTATCTTCATTTATTTATTGCGGTTTTAGTATAAATGGAAGAAAGAGTTAACGAAAGAAGAAGTCGGTGAATTGACGCTGTAAATGGCGCTTGTTGGATGAGTAAAAAATATTTAATAGATTGGCAAACCTAAATCCTGCAAAATTTATTACCAAAACAATGGTGCTGTTCGATCGAAGTAATCGCCCAGCAGAGTTGCTAATTCGAGCAACCATTAATCGGTTTTCCACCACGTTGACCCTACTCGATAAATGATGTGAACCTTAGAGGCTGTTGCTGTGGAACAGAGTATTGAAGAAGATCCAAATTTCCCTTTTTTTAAGATCGTATATAATATTTGAAGCAATAATCAACAAAACTCAACCAATTCATTGCAGTATTTCAACTTTTTAAGCCTATGGATAGCGCCTAAGTCGAGATTATCCAGAAATCTATTTCCGAGTTTAGCCGAAAATGCTTTCAGCAATTATAAACTGCTGAGAAATAAAAGCTAAAGACTGTAGACATCTATTGCAATGTATATAAATTGTGATTTTTTAAGAGCAGTAGGAAAGTTTTTTCAAAAAATATATAAAATTCAGAAAAATACGGTCCATATAATTTAATGTTTGAAAATTATTTCATGCCAATGTTGACCGTGACTGCACCTCAAATAGTCCATCCGCTTAGTCCAAATTTCGGCATACTTTTTCCAACATTTCGGGAGGAATATCACGAATAAATGCTTCAATCTTGTCCTCTAATGCGTCAACTGAAGCGGGCTTGTCTGCATAGACATTGATTAAATGCATTAAATAACTCGATCTAGGCGGCCAATTGACAGGTCCCGAACGTGAAATAAAATGTTCACCAAACTCGCCTCTCAATAAGTCCATTGTTACGCGTGCTGTGTAGCATGTGGCACCGTCTTGTTTAAACCATATGCCATTCAAGTCTGGCTGTTGCATTTTAGATGCAAAAAAAAATTAATATCATCTCACAGTATCGCGCGCCATTCACAGTTACGTTAAGATTAGCATCATCTTTGAAGAAGTACGATCCAATGATGCAACCATCCCATAAACCGCACTAAACTGTGACTTTTTCTGAATGCTTTTGGCTGATTTTCACTCCAAAAGCTTATTTCCGCATCCATTAAGCCAAAAAATGAGCTGCGTCGCTGAACACAATTTTTTTTTTTGAACTTTCTTAACAGAGCACGCATTTTGATAACAAAATTCAATAATTTGCAAGCGTTGTTCGTTTGTAAGAGGATTCGTGGTTAAATTATAGACCAAACTGAAGAGGTTTGACAGTGATACAAAACACGAAATGCGCGTCAGCTGTTGCAGCCAGTGTTGCCAACAGATAGTACCAAAAAATCACAAAACACCAATGCTTTGAAAACGCTGACATATATTTTATTCTAACAGGCCTATTCTCACTGTTACTGGTAAAAAAAAATTTCGTTACTTTTCTTTAACACCCGAAATTGAACTTGGTATTCTGGCGAGCTGGTTACAATATTTGAAAAAAATTTGGCAGCACTGCTTTTTTCATCCATTGCAAATCACATTTGTCAGTTGATAAAGTAAAAAGAAAAATATTCACATCGAAATGGAAGACGGTGCACAAAAAAATTAAAAAGTTATATTAATTTGTTTATTACATCATAAATATTTGAACCTAATTATGGAAAATATGCCTGGACAACAAAAAAAGCTGAATGAAAACGTTATCTTACAAATTAAAGGGCTATTTTTTTAGTCTCGAAAACTTCTCAAAATACGGTTTTTTGCACTTTTTTCTTCATCTTCAATGAATTCTAGGTCTAAAATATGCCTACCCATTTTGGTTTTTTAATTTTTCTCAAACTTACAACACGAAATCAAACAGCAGATATTTTTGTTACCTCCTATTTCGCTGGTAACAAAATTTACAGGGTAACAGTGAGCCCAGAATACGAAATGGGAACAAAATGTACTGGATGGTAAATTTTAATACCTAGGTAAATTTTGTTACCTTGACAGAATAGGCATGTAAGTCTTCGAACGGTTGATAAGCTTTCATCACAACTTTTTATTTCATGTCAGAAATATTCTCAGAGGGGTTGACATTTCCTGCCGAGACGTCGAAAAATTAACTGAATTTTTTGTTTGAATTAATTTTCTATAATTAGTATAATATTACGCACTGCTAACTACTTGGTTTCTATGCAGTCATAGCTTCTTGGACACTTAATATTATATTAAAAAAAACAGTGATATTCACTGGGCTTCCCGTTTATAAGATTAGACACCAGCAGATATTTTTTTTCTTCTTTCTACCTGAGACAAAGGTCTATATAGAAGAACTTTCGGCTAACTTCAGACGAAAAATAACCGCCGTATTGGTCGTAACATTGAGTTCGGCCTATCACTTGCTCGATATTATCATCGAAAGGTGAGGTAATCAAACCTTTTTGAACTAAATGAAATTATTTTTCAATTTAACATCATGAAATTTTCATTTTTCCCAATAAATGATTTCTAATATTACCAACATAATAATAATAATAATAAATAACGTTCTTTATCGTTTACGTTTCTTTATCTTAAACAGATTTATCGTTCATAGTATAAGCTGGGATGCTCAAGCCAACCAAGCTACAGCAATTTTCTTTTAACCTTAAGCCCATAAGTCAACAGACATTAGAAAATTCATTACTGTATCTTAGAAATGGATTTTGTTCTTGTTGTTTTACTTCCTGCTAGTGAAGATTATTAATTACATACATTAACTTAATGCGCTCTAATTGTCATATTAGTGATTTGTGAAGATATTGATTATTAGGCTGTATTTTATGACATTAGTCTTGCTTACTACATACATATGTATATATGTATGTATGTATATGTGTAGGTATGTATATGTGTAGGTATGTATATGGAGAAATATAATATTATAAGAATATCAGAACAAAGAGATTTACAACAAAAGGTTATATTATTATCATATCCTAAAGTCAAAGGAAAAATATTAAGCCATAATTCTTCTTCTTCGTTTTCTACTTTATAGGCGAGGGTACTGCTTACGTGAGGGGCATTCGTCTCTTTTTTTATCCATTTGGAAAAATACCAAATGCAACTAGGTTGCTTTCCACTTGAAGTGAACGTGTCCCCTTTTCTCTGCTCCCACCAGAGAGTACTGCATAGAAAACTCACAAAACTGGAGTGCTTTCATAAATTCAGACAACATTACTTAACCCGCCTAGCCGCTGTCTCTTTATTCGCTGAACTATACCAATGTCATTGAATATCTCGTACAGCTCGTTGTTCCATCGGCTACGATGTTCGTCGTTACTTATGTGCAGAGAACCAAAAATCTTACATTTACAGGTCTATTCTGTCGTGGTAACAAAATTTACCTAGGTATTAAAATTTACCATTCAGTAAATTTTGTTATCATTTCGTATTCTGAGCTTACTGTTACCCTGTAAATTTTGTAACCAACGAAATAGGAGGTGACAAACAATCAGCTGTTCGATTTTGTGTTGGCAATTTGTAAAAAAAAAAATAAAAAACCAAAATGTATAGACATATTTTACGTTTAGAATTAATTGAAGATGAAGAAAAAAGTGCAAGAAGGCGTATGTTAAGAAGTTTGAGAGAATAAAATTACCCATTTAATTTGGAAGACAGTGTTTTAACCAGTTTTTTGGGATCTTATGAACGAATTAGCACCATATGACAATTGATTAAATGTTAATTTTTGTTCATAATTTTTAAATAACCTTATTTTTTTAGACACCTTTTTTTGCCGTTTTATTTTAGGTTTCTCTCAACAATATATTTCTTTTTCCACGGGTCGTATCAGAAATGAGTTGAGAGCAATTGTCTAACTGCGATGAGCCAGTCTTCAGAGGGTGAAAACCACTTTTTTCAAACAGTTTATTAAGATATTAATACAATTTTTTTGCAGATTTTATTCGAAGTTTGGAATAAAAGGCGTCATTGGTGCAATTGACTGCACACACATTGGCATTATAGCACCTACAAGCAACGACCCTACAAATCCAGCAAGCCTGTATATGAACCGGAAGGGTAATTACAGCGTCAATGTAGAGGCAGTGTGTGACGCAAGCATGAATTTTTTGTCAATAAACGCCAACTTTCCTGGGTCTTGTCATGACTCGGGGATATGGACGACATCCATGATTAGAAGCTTCTTAATGGATCAACATGGGTGTTGGCTCATATGCGACCAAGGCTATCCTCTGGAATCTTGGCTATTAACCCCAGTTTCAGAACCAACAAGCGCGCTTGAGGAAAATTACAATAGAGTACACTGTGCAGCACGCAATGGAATTGAACGTACGTTTTGCGTATTGAAATCAAGATTTCGATGTCTCTCAAAGCACCGCATTTTAAACTATAGTCACAAAACAGTAGTATCTATCGGCAATTCATGTGCAATACTCCATTATATAATCAATAAATATAATATATGCTATACCAACATAGAGCAAATGGAACTGGAGGAGAATGAAATTGATGAAAATATTCAAACTGTGCGAGCCAAAACTATCCAGAACGAACTCTTTCAAGAAACCGAACGGATTCGTGCACATTTGACGCGTATAATTTAGTTTTCACAGTTTTTAATTAATTTGTGAAGAACTGAATAGAAAAAGTATTAAAAAAACAATATTTTTATTGTATCACAAATTCAGTCTTCATTGTTTTTATATATATTATATTTACATAAATCTTAATACTACTAACTAAAATGTCTTCTGGACAAACACTTAAAAAACTTATAGCAATCCATTTGGTAAAAAAAAAATTCCCCTATGTAGCTAATAAAAAAAACTAACTACAGCTTATCGGCTAATTTTGAGATTGCATTGCCCAAAATCTCCAACCCTTTCCCCATTTGCATCAATGCAGAAGATAGCTGCTCATTTCTCTGCCTTTGAGACTGCAAATCTTCAGCCATCATCTTATAAATTACATCCGTTGTCACTCTTTGTTGCCGAGAAGTGGTAGGAGCAATCGAAGGCCATGCATCAGAGGCTGCGGCAATGTTGGATATATTTGGGTCTACGATTAACTCGGTTGGCGATTCGATCAGCGTTTCCTCAATCACGTATTCTTCCCCTTCGCATAGTGGTGATGGAATCGCAGGAGTTGTGAATGTGTCCTAAGTAAGCAGAAACTTAAAGTTTTGTGTATATTTAACAAATGACAAATTATTTACTTAAAGGAAGTCCCAAGGTTACGCACTCCAATCCATTGACTACACCCATGTCAAATGCAGACAGAGCTTGTTCCTCGAACTCCGATAACTCTTCGCCTGAAAACGAACCTCCGCCAGTGCGCAAGTTGCATAAAGACTACAATGGAAAAATTTATTGTTTGATAATATAAACAAAATATAATATAATGTTTACCTCTTTCCATTTTGCGGCAGTTTTACTCGGCCCATAAAAAGATTTTTAAATTCAGGGCTATTTCGTCCCATAATCTTTTCTGAGCTTGAGGATCATTTGGTGTGTTCTTCCCGCTTAGTATCTGTCGATTACTTTGTATGAATTCAACAGTCCATTTCAGCTGCGCTTTTGTGGTTCCGTCGATTTTGGTGTATGTATCATTCTTTTTTAGTTTACCAAATGTTGTATTCTGACAACAACGAAAAAAGCAGTGCTGCCAAAATTTTCTCAATTATTGTAACCAGTTCGCCAGAATATCAAATTCAATTTCGGGTGACAAAGAAAAGTAACAAAATTTACTTTACCGGTAACAATGGGAATGTAACAGGACATTACATTTTTAGTACCGACTAAACTGATGTCGGCATATTCTATGCGCCTGCACCCATAGCATGCCGAGAGTGATGAGTTTAGTTCTTGTTCTTCAAAAAAATATCCCTTCTCCCTGCTCTCTTCTAAGACTTGAGGCGAATAGCTGTTTTATGGTGGCTACACGAGTTCTTAGTTTACACTGATCATAAATCATTTCGTTGACCGTTTTGATCTTTCACCCAATACGAGGTCTTAGTAAAAGAAGATGAGGCGAGTAATTTTTGAAAAATTGTAATTTTCATATAATTCATTCGCTGTGGTTTTTGCTTTTGTATTTGGTAAAATACATTGGGCCCTGAAAGGTCATCCTTATTTTAATTCAAAAGGCGATTGTCGATATTTTGAAGATCTAGCATCCACCGGGTATCCAAAAACCTTTGATAAAGAATTTCGAATCCTGTAAAATTTTGCACCGAAACCAAAGTGAAATTTTCTTTAATAAAATTTATTAATTTAATTTAGTTTAATCAATTATTTTTCCCAAAAATAATTTAAACATTTTAATCAAATTATTTGTTTGATGTGCTTAAATTATATAGCAACTTGCGTAAAATTGTACAAATTAATAAAAATATATACATATATAATGGAGCTTCCTAACAGTATTTATAATTTGTATAAACAAAATATAATTAATGCCTAATGACCTGCATAATTATCGTAATACTTATGTCTGATTTATTGAGTTTATGAAGCAAACATATATACAGCACATACATACATTCGATAATACTATAAATTATTTACATATTTACTACTTAAAACAAATATACATTTATATAACCAAGTAAGTTAAGGCTTTTTTTACAGATTTTTAACCATTTTTTTTACCAAAACCTGTTCCAACAAATGATTGAAACAGTATATAATAAATCTGCTTACCAAGTTTGATTGAGATATCTCCAAAACTGATGTACTACACTGCATGCAAATGAACGAACAGATGAGCATGGCTAAATGAACTGAGCTCCAAATTCTAACCCGATTGGTATGCTTACATACTTTGGACCAAAGTTAATATCGAGTCAAATGTTGGTATATAGAATCGGCAAGAACATACAACCTCTCCTATAGGAATAGTTCAAGTATTTAAAGACGTCGCGCTGCTTTCCGAGCGGCGTGAACATTCGTGGTAACCAAGGCCCACTAACTTTTTTCATCTTCAAATGTTCATGAAAATATCTCCAGCTCTTTCTTTGCTTATCCGTAATCCTTCTACTATCTGCTACCATTTAATTCTTCGATTAGCCAGTACTAATTTTTCGATTCTTTGAACATTTTCTTCGATCACGACAGATTCCTTTTTGAAACAGCACTGTCCATTTTTCCACCGTTCTATATGAAGGACCATAGTCTTTAGAGATATCTTTTTAAAAAAAAATTTTCAGCGTTTTACCTTCTTTTACAGGGAATTTAATCACGTCCCGGTGCTCCCAGCTGCGGGAATTTCCTGCTTCCTTTTCCAGGAACGAAATCTTAATGAAACTAATAAAAAAAAGTTATATACTAACCATAGTTGCATTGATCCCACGTCACAGTCATAACCTTGAAGTCGTAGATAATTTCGTCTATCTAGGAACCAGCATTAACAGCAATAATACGGTCAACCTTGAAATTCAGCGCCGAATCCCTCTTGCCATTAGGTGCTACTGTGGACTGAGTGTGCAATTGAAAAGTAAAGTCCGCTCCCGACGAACGAAAAACAAACTCTACAAGTCCCTCATCGTTGCCGTCCTGCTATATGGTGCGGAGGCATGGACGATGACAAAATCTGATCAGTTGGCGTAAGGAGTTTCCGAGAGGTGTTGCGTGGGATTTATGGTCCTTTTAGAGTTGGCAACAGCGAATATCGTGGACGATGGAACGATGAGCTGCACGAGTTATAGGGCGGCATTGATAAAGTTCAACGAATCAGGAAGCAGCGGCTACGCTGGCTAGGTCATGTGGTGCGGATGGATATGAATTCTCCTGCTTTGAAAGTTTTCGATGCAGTACCCGCCGGTGAAAGCAGAGGAAGAGGAAGATCTCCACTTCGTAGGAAAGACCAGGTAGACAAGGACCGGGCTGTACTTGGTATTTCGCATTGGCGCCAAACAGCAAAAAGAAGAAACGCATGTGGCACAGTTGTAAATCGGCCAAAATCGCGTAAGCGGTGTCTACGCCAGTAAAGTAAGTAAATAAGAAACATACTCGGAATACTTAGCATTTTCTACCGAGGGTTTGGGTCCTTTAGGAAAATTAATGTTTTATAACTTTAGAGACTGGTGAGATGAGCAGTCGCACCATTCAACAAAATGACAATATGCAATCCCAACCACTCAGCTATTGCGACCACCAAACATATGTATATATATGTATTTGTTGTTGTAGTTCAATGTTCTGAAACTATTTATAGATTATTGCATCAAGATGCGAGACATAATGCTCATGTTTAGTTTCAGTAGTTGAGTATTTCCAGCTAAATACTGGTACATATGTGTCTCGACGTTTGAGAGAAAAGAGATCGTAAGCACATTAAGTAAATGTAAAATATAAATATATTTTAGTGAGTCCATATTAAAGGAAAAATATTGTCGTAGCAAAAGAAGCTACTTTATACAAAATTTCTTCTAAAATATATTTAAAAAAAAAATTATTCTAAATTTTTAAAGACTTCTTTTCGGATTGAATTCATGCTATAATCGCTCCCGCATTCACCTACATATATATTTAAATATAGAAGGAAAATCATCATTGTCTACATCAATATTTCTTATATTTAAAACTTCTTCCTCTCGTACATATAAGTATGTATATCCCTAGATATACGAGTATATATATATTTATCTAAACAGCAACATACACGGTGTGTCCCAAAAATAACCGAACTTTTTGGATATAAAATAAAATACAGACTATGTTATCTTTGAAAGTTATTATTTAGTCAAAATAGGTTCCATTTGATTCAACACAATATTTGGAACGATCAACCAGCGCATGCATATATTTTTTTATGTCATTTATAGAAATGTTCTTCAGTACCTCGGTTACGGCTGTTTGAATGGCTGGGATATCATCATAGAATGCTCCCTTTATCTTGGTTTTCAGTTTTGGAAATAAAAAATAGTCACATGGTGATAGATCAGACGAATACGGAGGATGATCGATGAGAGAAATCCCTTTTTTCATTAAAAAGTCGAGCGATTTTCTGGTCGTCATTTAATTCATGTGGAACAAATCGCGCACAGACCTTTCTTTTCCCCAAATCTTTAGTTAAAATTCTCCAAATAGTGTTTTTACTCGTATTCAATTCCTCAGCCAATATTTCCGTAGTAAAATTTGCATCGATACCAATGATTTCACGGACTTTTTCCACCAGTTCAGCACGATTACTAGTTTCTGAACGTCCTGCTCTAGGATCGTCATTTAAATCCTCACGACTATTTTTAAATAGGGTAAACTTGCGTACGACTCATACAATCATCACAATAAACTTTTTTCATTAGTTTTTTTTTTCAAGTTTGACACAAAATTTTATATTTGCTCTTTGTTCCATTTTATTTTTGAACCATTAGCACACTTTTGGTTTTATTGAAATGGCTGTCACTTCTGCAGCTGTCCTCTGACTTCCATGGTGTTAGATGCGTTTGAAAGAGGATGAATGTATCTTTTTAATGTTGCAAATTTTCAATAGATGGCGCTGTATGTTGTATGATTTAAGTATAAAGTTCGGTTATTTTTAGGACACACCGTGTATGTACATATGTACTCATATATGTGTTTGGTTGCGATTGGCCACTTAAGCTAGCGAGCGCTTCCATACGTGATGTGAATTTATGTGAATTGATTTTACACCTACATTTGTATAATCGTACATACATATCGATAACTATCAGCACCGCAGTTTACAACTTGCGCTCACACAAACTGCGGCACACCCACCCCACCCAGTGCTGCATCCACATGACTTACAATGACGGCATATTGTCGTGCGACATTCATAACGACGCTCTGTGTGTGCCTCAACATTACCGGAAATTGGCCATGAATTACAATACGATTTTTTCCTGTGCCCATAACCATTTTCTAGCTGCCTTTTTCTCCATTTTTCTCCGTTTTTCTCATGTTTTTGATTTTCTTTTATTTTCTTTTATTTCTTTTCTTTAATATTTAGTAGTTGGCGCTACTCTCTTTAGCTTACCTTCGGTTGGGCGAGGAAGGTTGCAGCCTCTTCATGTGTGTGCGTTTTATTGTTTTCAGCAGCGCTTAAATTACATACTCATTTACATTATTATAAGTATATATTGTATTTATTGTAATGAAGTGTTGAAATTACAGTTGGAGCGGTAATACAATACACATTTCTTACCAAAAATAATGATTATGTTATGACACAATGAAAGGTCCTTTCTATTAAAATGATGGCAAGCGTTTGCAGGTTCTCGCATTCAGAGATTCCACGCGATGGCCGGTAGAGGTGACTGTTTTGACAGCTAAATCCTTTTATGACTGCGATATTTAAATTGTTAAGGACATTTCAATATAAATAAAAATGCGACATGTGTCTCGTACAAACTGAAAATCTTTAAAGTCAAAATAAACCAAAAATTCATGAGTAGTTGTAGATTAGGTTGAGCTCAACTGCCTGTTTATGGAGTCTTACAGAGATGATGCTACGTCCATAGTGTTACTAGATGCACGACATGTGGCCAAGATTATGTTCTGCTACACTTCCTATTGAGTCTCTAGTCTCAATAAATTTGCTATACTTTTAATCGCTGCAGAATGGAGATCTTGCCAAGTAACTTTATTTTTTCTATTTTAAAAGTTTAATCCCTGCGTTAGCTCTGTCGTCATTTTTGGCAGGTTGGAAGGAGCTTTCCGAGCAGTACGA